GACTGTTACAACTGGAGGCTCCTTTAGCTGCAGTGGATAGCCATGACTCCTGTAGTGCCCCATCATGCCTTTCGCCTTCCACAATACATCGCTGCACTGCTTTTCAAGCCCTTGGAACAACATATGGTCTCTTTCGCCTTGGCTACCATAACCGTCTTCGTATGCTTGGGAGGGCAATCCCTAAATCACCATCAGTTTCCACACTTCTGGTTACCCTCACATGGTTTAGCCTGCCTGCCGAGGTGGTTTACCGGGATGTGGCCACTGTCGCATACTTACAGCTACTTGGAGCTTCACGTGAGAGCTGGGTGTACAGTGAGGACCAGAGAGGAAAAGAACCACTCAAGGAGTCCAGCAGTTCGGATCACTCAAAGGTACTACCTATCCCATACACCCCATACACTCCTATGAATCACAGTGGATGGAAACAAATGCTATAGACCTTTGGAGAGGTTGGAAATCCAGCTAGATCTGGTGGCTCATGAGATATCAAACCTTTAAAAGAATCGCATCATTCTGTGCACCCTCATGCCTTTTAATCCCACCTGATTATAGTGGCCACTGTCTTTAGAACTCTTAATCAGCATCAGTGATGTTTATTATCTGAAAGCTTGTAATCCTCATTTTCAGAAAGCTGATATCATCAATCCCCTCCTTGAGGCATGTAGTGATCACAGAAATTGCAGAGAGGTAAAGGGACTTGCCTGAAGTCACATAGGAGGTCAGCGGCAGAGGGTGGAATAGAACCTTCTCTTGACTACCCAGTCCAATCCTCACTGCCTCTGAAATTGCTGACTTCTTTGGCTGACCATTTTACCTGGGCATTCTGCTAGCAGTTTTGACAGTAGGGAGTTTAATTTTCTTTGTCATATTGCAATTCAATTGTCTGGGGTGTTATGGATATCTAAAGGGTAGGGTTTAAACTTAGCAATCTGCTGTGTTATTGAATTAGTTTTATGTTGTGTTAATCTCTTTGTCTCATGGCATTCATTGCTTGTGATAATTGATGCACAATATATAACCAAGTTCTGTATTCACTTGGGTAACTGCATTTAATTGCCTGGTATAAAATATGCGTACTAAGTACAATCTGCTATGACTGAGAAGCTCTCATTGGTATGGACTTGTCGGCGCTTTATCTTCCTGACAGCCTGTCTGAGGAAAGTCTAAAAGTCTTCCACAGCCCACCATGTAAGGATGAAGAATGGATATTTGCTCTGTGACTACGAAAAGAGAGATTGCCATAACTGTTCTGTGGTCTTTTCAGAGTTCTGTTTGTGTTTACTGCATTGGGCTTTAAAACTGCGTTAATTGGAAGCTCCATAAAAATAAAATAAAAAAATATACATAATATACAATGTTCTCCTCTATATTATTTTTGGGGCTAGATTCAGCTCAGTGGAGATACTCACCTGAGTAAAGTTACTTATGTGCATGAGTGTTTGCAGAACCAGAATGTTTATTTTGTATGCCTTCATGTTACTAATATTTAAAGGAGCATAAATTGGTTTAAAATCATGGGCCAGCTCCTCTGCTGGGGGAAATCAGCCTAGCTCCCCAGGAACTCAATGGAACTACGCTGCTTTACACCAAACTTTTCTTTTACTATTATGATTTGTAAAACTATTTTTTTTCAAAACCTAAATGTTGAGACTAAACTGACTGTTGAGCATCTCTGTAAGATTATTTTACGCAATGTCATTTTGCATAACGTTAATACAATGTAAGAACTTTTCTCCCATAAAGATTCTGTATTGAGAAAGAAGGACAGATCAATATCTCGTATTGTACTAGCACTGTTCTCAATGCTATAGCTACAGTTTTGTCAATGCTGTCATCATCTATCAATTTTTGGGTGAAGTTTCTTTAAGGATTTTTAGAATGAGTGGTTTCTAACTCCAGAGTCCAGTCCTGTGCTTCTTTTTTGCACCTGTCACCAGTTTTATGTACATCATTTTGCAGAATGTTCAACAAGGAGCTTAGGTGCACAGATTTGTTATTCAGTTCTGTTTCGCTGACAAAATAGCCCGCAGCAACTCTTGGTCAGAGGGGATCAGTTCAGCTTCAGGCTTTGGCTCACCTTGTGACTTTTTGTCGTTCACCCTACCCTGCGGCTATTTTCTTCTTCTTAGCGTGTGTGCAATGTGCCTCGGGTGGCACGTGATCAGGATTCATCACCGAATTTGGACTGCTGGTTGGATCATTAGCTTCCCTGGCCCGGGTACTGACAGGGAGCATGACATGTACGCCCAGCTGGTCAGGGAGAAAGCAAAGTAGCCCAGAGCTGCCTTCGAGAACCCATAGGCACTTTAAAACCAGGAGTTCCCCAGATTCATGACCAGAGCTAGTGACACTGTTCAATAAGTGAGTCATGAATATTTTCATGAGTTAACACAATGAAATGGGGGAGAGGGATAGCTCAGTGGTTTGAGCATTGGCCTGCTAAACCCAGGGTTGTGAGTTCAATCCTTGAGGGGGCCACCTAGGGATCTGGGGCAAAATCAGTACTTGGTCCTGCTAGTGAAGGCAGGGGGCTGGACTCAATGACCTTCCAAGGTCCCTTCCAGTTCTAGGAGATAGGATATCTCCATTAATTTTAATTTAATGAATTTCCTTTGCTGTTATTTGTGCAATGATATTACTCATTTTCTGCAAGTATTTGGACAACTCATGGTTTATTCAAGAAAATGTTCATAAACCCCCAAAGTTTCAGGCGTTTTAGCATGAGTGGGGATTTGCCACTCATCATTGTCCTGTCACTCATCATTCTATTGTCACTATTCATTCTCCTGTTTAAAATTTCTCTCATCCAGTCCAGAAGCAGAAGCAATACCAAGTGATTTAGCTGACCAGCAGTGCATCCCAATAATACATGGTAAAAGACACTGTCAAAACAAATAGTTTGCAAGCTGCCAATAGGCTGAAATTTGTTTACTTAAAATGTTCAGCATTTGTTTGTGAATCATAACACTTGTAGAAATTAGGATTGAATTGTGAATGATTCATAAAGAGGAAAGAGGATGTACTGAATGTCAGATAACTTATCAACAGCAAATAATTCGACCAGCTCTAAGCTTGAAATCGATGTTAATGGCTCAAAATTTGTAGTCTGAGGTAGATGAAGGAGCTAAATATGGATTTAAGGAGCTGCAGTTTAGGCACCCACTTTTAAACATCTCAGTATGTAGCTTTCTTGATGTAAGTCACCCTCTGTTCAGAGAATCCTGTGACCTCTGGCCAGTGTTTTTGGTAAGTAGTGATTGTACTTAAAATGTCAGTTTTATCATAGCACAATAAAGAAATGACATAGCAAAGTCAAATACTGAAATATAATAAATATTGAGATTTTAAGTAGACCCAATGTGTCCCAGAACAAAATATGTTTTAACTTAGTAAAAGTGGCCATTTGTAATTTACAACATATTATAAATGTACAAAGTTAACTGATTACATTAAGTGATTTTTTTTTCACTTGTGTGGCTTTTAAGATGATCACCTTTATATGACATGAGTTGTAATTACAGCTCCATGCCTCTGCATTACCTATGGCAGGGAGGCTCTTTGTACAACCGTGTTCACCCTTCTGGCTTATATTATAGTCACATAATATTTGCAGATAAAAGTGTGGGAAGAATTAAGCTAAAATATAGTTTAATCACTTTTATTATGTCTTTTCTAAAGATGAAATATTGAGCTTTACAAACTGGAAACAACACGCTTAACGTCTATTAAGTAATTTTCATAAAGAAAATTGAATGTGTATGACCTGAGCTTCAAACTATTTACCAAAAAGGCACCTAAAATTTTTATTCAAACCCACATTTACTCTTATGTATGTTTGGTTGTTTGCATAGACAAAATGTTTATGTAATTAGCCTTTAGCACAAGCAAATGTGAGGTTTGCACATTCAAATTCTCTATATGCATTTTTGGATTCTCTTTTGAAAATCTTATCCTTAAAGGCTCTTTTTGCTTCCAGTGAAATTAATTCCAAAACTTCAGCTGACTTCTGTCATGAAAAACTGGGGACTTAAGGTTTGAACCAGCCAAGCACAATTAAATCAATGGGAATTTTTCCACTGACTTCAATGAGCTTTGGATCAAGCCCTTAGGTCTCTTACACAGCAGTGAGGCAATCATGATAGACTGTAAAGACTCCAAAAAACCCACTGCAGTCTGTTACATAAGTAATGCATAAAAGACCTAAAATAGCCTTAGATATGTGCTTATCTCAAGCAAAATAAATATTTGCTCTCTAAGAATTTGAAGGTGTTGTTATAATCAAAGTTGTCACCTCTCAGTTTGGTTTCATGCTTTATTTTCCTTTTCTTCAAATCCTTTTAACTTTCAGAAATGCGCAGACACAATGAGAATCACAGACAAAAGAATTACCTCTATGTAAAATTCATGTTGCAACAGAAACCTCACCAAAGCAAAGACATTTCAGATGGAGGCTGATGCGCTCCCTTTGCTTCATATTGGTGTTACTTTGTGGGCTCAGGATATTGTGTTTGTTAAAGAAAGTGCCAGTACGTCTTCTTTAACATAACAAGCCTTTCCTGGTTTGTGTTCCATTCTTAAAATTACTCCTTCATCTGGAAACATATTTAACAGGCAACTGTTTCCTCGAAACTCACAACATCAATTAATTTTTAACTTTTTAAAAAATTCATATGCAGCCCAAGTATGTCCTTTCAATTGATGCTGGCATGCTGAGGTGGCTGTGCAGGTACTGATAAAACCTAATTTGTGAAGGCTTTTCAGCCAGAGGCAAGACATCTGATAGGTTCAGACATGGGCACCATTTATTCAGTAAGCAAGAATGCAGGTTAGTTGAAACTCCTTCACTAACACTTGATGAAGGCGTACAACTGAACTGGATTTGGAGATACAACTGAGAGTAGGTAGGAACTTCATATAGATTTCAATCAGGGCATGCTGTTTTGAAATTAGACTTTAAAATCAGCTTTTAATATCTGATTAATTGTGTTTTCTTGCAGCGCCTAATGAACTGTGTGTGGACTCTGCATTCAGTAACAGACAGATTCTCCCATCGCAAGATGTTATTACTACAGTAGTAGGATACATTCCTATTTGAAGTCAGTCAGCAACAAAAGGAACCAGTTTAAACGATGGCTGCAGGTAAATATCTGCACTATGCAGTGGCCACCAAAAATATTGTTGCTAAAATGATTAGTGATAATTACCTTTTGTTTTCAAATGGAACTTAATAATATTTTTCCTAAGACAAGTCAAATTGGTGTGAGCTCTTTTTATACAGGTGCCTAAATAATGTCACCATTTCTTTAATAAACTACATTTCATGAGAAACATGTCCCTTCTCTGAATATGTGGAAATCTCATGATGTGTATTTCCACAGAAACATTTGCCATTGATTAGGTAGTCTTAAATTATAAGCTCTTTTGAGCAGGACTGTATCTTCTCTCACTGCTATATAGCACCTAGCAATTTTATTGGTGCTCCAAAAAGATGTATCATAATAATAAATTTTAATTATTTTCAGTAAGATTTATCTATGTCTCAAACACTATTTTCTGTTAAAAATTGTGGCATATTGACTTTTAAACTCAGAATTTGTCTCTTTTGCCACAGCCGCTGATGGTTTGGGAAGTACAACTATAGATACCACACAACTTAATATGTCAGTCACTGATCCAACAGCTTGGGCTACCGCTATGAATAACCTCGGGATGGTTCCAGTAGGATTAGCTGGACAACAGCTTGTGACGGGTAAGATTTCTGTTAGAGATTTGGATTTTTTCAGTCTTTTTATAAACATCTGGAATCATTGCTGAAGACAGGTATATTTTTATAGTCTCAGAACAATGGTTGTAGGTGCACAACTTCTATGATTAATATTGCATACCATGTATTAGTCTCTTTGTATAATGGGTATGTAATCCATACTGTGTTTTAACCTAGTAGAACAACCAAAATCTTTGGGGAAATTAGAGTTCTAAACCATTGATCTCCAGGCTCTATGCTGGGTCTAGGTTAGGGAGGGGATCAAGAGATGTACTTGGTCTTTGAGAGAGAGCTGATTTTCCTTCCCAGTAGTTTTCCTTGAGGTTTTGCCAAGGAATAGCGTGGGCAGCGGCTGCAACCTCCTGACTGGAGGAAGATGGTTGTGCTGACAAAAGAAAGTGCAGCTATAAATATATTCAGAAAAAAAATGGGAATTGCATGCAATTCATATCCACTGGTAGCATTAGCTAACTGAAAGAGAGAAGCAATCCCTTCTTTCTTCTAATTTTTTTGAACACCATAATTAATTTTCAAGGGCTATTATTCTTTGACTTTGTCATTTCATTTACAGCTTGCGAGAGCTCTGTAGTGGATCACTTAATCTTTCCAGCAATAATAAAAATATTATTTTGCCCATTAGAAACATTGAAGGTTCAGTCCTGCTCCCATTGAAATCAGTTGATTTCAGTAGAAGAGGGATTGGGTCAAAGTGAATTAAGCTTCACAATACTCCTGTGAGGTACATACAATGGGCCAGATCCACAGTTGATGGAAATCAGTTTAGCACTCCGTAAGAAAGATAGGGTATAAAAACAACCTTAGGTAAGCAACTGCTTAACTGATTATTCGTACCACCTTGCTTAGGGTTCTTTTAATTTTGATTGCTTAACTAAAGAAAAGGACTTGAAAGATTAATTTAGTTTTATAGAGTTTCATTAAATATCCTTATCAACAGGGATTAATAGCATAGAATATAAGAAAGCAAAAATGGTATTGGATTATGATTTGGCTAACATAAGCTAGGAAATTTGTCAGTATAACCATATAAACCATGTAGGTTTTCAGAATCAAATTATACAAAGACAATAGAAAATAACACTTTTACTCAATCACTATGTTGGGAAGGTGATTTTGGCTAAGGATACATCTATACTGCAAAAAAACAAAACAAAACCCCTGCGGCAGCAAGTCTCAGAGCCCGGGTCAACTGACTCCAGGTGGCAGGGCTTGTGCTAAAAAGAGCAGTATAGACGTTTGCACGTGGCATGGAGCCCAAGCCTGACAGCCCCCTCACCCCAACCTCCTCAGGGTTCAGAGCCAGAGCTCCAGCCCAAGCAGGGATGTTTACATTGCTATTTGCAGCCCCATAGCATGAACCCTGAGTCAATTGAGACTTGCTGCTGCAGGTTTGTTTCTTTTGCAGTGTGGTCAGGTGTCCTTATAAATACACATTTTGGTTTTAGTTCTTTTTATTTACTGACTCTTTCAGCATAGACGTATTTCACTAACTCGATAGCACAAACATGTTTGATTGCAAACATTAGCCTTACTTCTTCACTTTATCACTTAAACTAAAAGAAATCAATATGAACACAGCTTCTTTCTTTTCTAACAGTATTGCCCATGAGGTAAACCCTGTCATTGAAATTTACAATATTTTGCCCAAAGCTGTATCACTTATAGTTGACCTCCCTTTTATACACATTTTAATGATAATATTAGATTCCATCAAGTTTCCTATTTTACAGCTCTATCTGGCACATCATAGGATATCAATGTTTGATATTAATTTAATCGTTTTTTTTTTAAATTCATTCACTGACAGGAAAAAAGGGGGAAGTCTCTTTAGCTGCACTTGCTCTTTTAGAAAAGAAATGTCTTTGAAGAAATCCAGCCATTAGACCTTCGGTTTTTCTTCTTGTAGGCCTCCATTCTAGCTTTTCTAAAGGGCCTTGATGCCTGACAAATCTTAAACTGTAATAACTCATAATTTTGGGGCCTTAGTTACTGCAACTATATCTGCCTCCCAGGGGATTTGTGAAGTTAAATTTTTGGCTATCCTTTCTGAAATTAGGCATTGAATGGAATTTTGCCAATTTACACTACCTGAGGATCTAGCCCAGAATTACCCATCATATAGATGGGTAAACTAAGACACAGAAAGGTTAGGTTACAAGTCCAGGATCACACAACAAGTCAGTCCAGAGCAGGAAATGTAGCTGGTGTAGATCTTGGGTTGATTCCAAGTCTCCTGCTATAACCATTAGATACACTGTTTTCCCAACTATACAGCTGTACCTTGTCTTAGATTTTTCATCCACTCGGTACACTGGTGTTCAGTTGTACAGTAAACTAGAGAGTCACACACTTCATTGCTTATGTAGGCCGAACTGTACACCCAGTGAGAGAGGGCAACATATTTAGCTGCCACCTGTTATGCATAGGCAATGGGTGGTGTGGAGATTTCTCTGCCTGTGGTACCAAATGAACATTCTATGGGCCTGATTTTCCAATGAAGGCTTTTCCAGTTTTCCAATTTTCACCAAAAGCCAATAGGGTTCTGCCTGTTGATGCCTAGAACAGTCTCTAAAAAAATTTGAATTGATCAGATGTGTTGTTCAAAAGCTATTGTGTCGCAGACAGAAATGCCATTAGGTTGACTATAGGGCTTTGCTTTGCTTGACCTATAAATATGTGCCCCCTAGAAACAAACTAGCCCAGTGCTCTCTTGATGTGCTTTACTGAACTTTGACTTTATTATCTCCAAATCTGGAAATGATTTTGTATCGGGGTACCTTTGTCTGGTTCCATTGATCAGTGTCTCCATTGTATATAATGTAGGAGGATTGGCACACTTCCTTTCGTGTTTCCCCTTTCTCTCCACTTTTTTGTGCAAATTCTTCTCTCAGCAACACCTCTATAACCTCCCCATTGAGCCAACAGTGTTGCACAGATGGAATTGAATTTGGCCCTGTTCGTATTATTTCCTTGTGTGTGGATCTGAAGGACTTCAATTTATCACTCCAACTGCTGCTAGTTTATTTTTGGAACTATTTTTTACCACCTATATTAGAAGCACTGCTTGGATCAGTTAATATTTGTACAGCACTTTTAAAGTGTAAAGTGTAGTATAAGTGATAAGTATTAATTACTAGAGTGGAATATCTCCTTATTTCCAGCGAGGAGTAGAAGAGTCCCCTTCTCTCATGCTTTTTGCTTTCCTATGCATAAAACTATGTACAGTAGAATCTCAGAGTTATGAACAGCAGAGTTACGAACTGACCAGTCAACCGCACACCTCATTTGGAACCAGAAGTATGTGATTAGGCAGCAGAGAACAAAAAAAAAAAAAAAGCAAATACTGTACAGCACAGTATTGTGTTAAGTGTAAACTACTAAAAAAATAAAGGGAAAGTTTAAAAAAAGATTTGACAAGGTAAGGAAACTGTTTCCGTGCTTGTTCCATTTAAATTAAGATGGTTAAAAGCAGCATTTTTCTTGTGCATAGTAACATTTCAAAGCTGTATTAAGTCAATGTTCAGTTGTAAAGTTTTGAAAGAACAACCATAACGTTTTGTTCAGATTTACAAACATTTCAGAGTTACAAACAGCCTCCATTCCCGAGGTGTTCATAATTCTGAGGTTCTACTGTGTTATGTATTTCCCAAAGTAAATAGGTGCTTTGACATTTCACTCACCCCCTCCCAAAATTTCATGAGTTTTGACATTTTTCACCATGACAAAACCATGATTTTAACAATACTTTGCCATGAAAAGAATTATAGCTCTACTGGTTATGGCACATTTATCTGCACTGAACTACATTTTCCATCCATTGTTTTAGCCCAAGTACTTAAATGGTTCTTCACCCTTCCTGACTCTGGTGTTCATGATTTATGTTAATTCTCATGATACGTTAAACTTCTTCAGCATTTATACTTTGCTTTCAATAACCTCATCAACAGTATTTCTACAAACGAAAAAAGAGGAGACCCCTATGGTATCCCAGCACTAACTTCTTTCTAGCTCTAAAAAGACCTATTTCTGGCTATTTTTATTTTCCTGCCCTGGTGCAGTAAATACCTTAGACTGAGTTTAGGTCGAGATTTAACTTGCATATGAAATGTTACCTAAGCTAGCACAGTCTGAAATTCTGACTACTGTACCAACTTGTGGTGTCCTGGTGTATCAACTTTGTCTACAATCCTTGAGTTTCCCCAAAAGATATTCAGGCACAGTTTTCCCTTCCTGAAGGCTATGCTGGCTGTGAGTAAGCTGTAGAGTTTTCCCCTCCACTTTTCCTCCATTTGATCTGCTCAAACGTTTTAAGTTTTTTCGTCCCTTTTCTCAGCTGATGTTAATTTAGTTGCTCTGTAATATCCCAGAACGTGTGTCTTGTAATAGAATTATGTTGGCCACTTGGCAGCTTGCAGGACTCTCTCCTGAACTGAGAATTAGTAAAAATGACAGCTCAGGCTTCTGCAATATCTGGCCAATTTTTCTATAACAGTCTGGGATGTGTGTTGTCTGGTCCTGGTGACTAATCAATTTTAAGCACTGCTAACCTTTTAATACCTGTTTAGATGTTATCTGTACACTATTTCATTCCTTATCTCCTAGTGCTGTAAAATTGGATTTTTGATCTGGGCAAATGTCAGAGCCTTTCATTTGTAAAGATGGATTCTTGTGAATAAATGTATAACATCTCTTCTGTTCCTATACTCTTTGCTTCTACTTCTTGTTATTTAGAAGGCTCATCATTTTTGGTTATATTTGGCTACTGCATTACATATAATTTAATGTATGTATTTTTACATTTTATATATATATATACATTTATTGTGTTATATATATCTATATATATCACAATAAATAGAGTGTAATAATGCATTTAGTTTAATTGTTAACGATTGATGCAGTATAGTTATGGTTCTAAGCCCCTCTCTTCAATAGGTTATAATTTTTCCAAAAAATTCCCCTTGGGG